CAAACCACCTCCCTGCAGGGAGCTCAGGGGGAGAGGAGTGAGGAAAGCTGTAAATGAAGGGCTGGAAAAAGCCTTTTCCAAGGAATGCTGTGATTGATCCTAACAGAGCCAATGGAGGAATCACAGGGGAACTGGAATATTGAGCTAATGAAGGCAGCTCAGTCTGCATGCATTTAAGGCTGGTTTTGAGCTCTGGAATACAAGAAACTGGGATTTTTTTCAGGGATCTCAAGGTAACAAATGTGGAGAGAAATGAAACAGATGCAGAAATCAGCAGCACGAGGCTCTGGAGCTGTTTGTGTGAGCTGTGTGAGGGTTGGCTCAGCAGCACTGAGCTGGTTTAGCAATGAGATGAGCTGAAGCATTACAGAAATGGTACAGCTTGACAGAATTTGTGTGTTGTGACAGGGACATCAATGGGGTTTGTTATTCCTGTTCCTTTGGAACGTGGTGTGTTTCCTCTCTTTGTCCTGTCTGATTCCTTCCCCTGATTGCATTCCCTTACTCCCTGGGTGTGTCTGGATTCATCCAATATTCATCCAGATTCTGAAGGATTTAAAATGCTGGAGGATTTTATTTGCATTTTATTTCTTTTAGCTTACCCTGAGTTGGGGATGAGCTCACTTATACTGGGAACCTGTATTGGATTTTATGTTCAGTGATTTGAGAAGGAAATGTGGGGCTGATGGAGGCATCAGGCCACACAGGGCAGTGGCAGAGATTCACTGTGGAGCTCTCTGGGTTTTTTTGGGGTTTTTTTTGGTAACTCTTGAGCTGCTGCTGCTTTGAAAGGGAACATCAGAGTTAACCTGCCTGGAAAGCTGAGGGAAGCAGAGCAGCCAAAGGCTGGAGCAGCTGAAGATCTCTTGCATCTCACCTGGAGGATTCTGACTGCTGTGACCTCCCCTGGTGCTTTGGGTGCTGCTCCAGCACAGCCTGCACAGCACCAGGAGGTTATTGTGGGCACTGCTGGGCTGGGGTGGGACAGTCCTTAAGGTTCCTCAAGGGAGAGCAAAGCTGCAGGGAAGTGGCAGTTCAAGGAATGGTGCTGTGGGTAGTGACTGACCATGAGAAATGTGTCTGCTTAGCTCTGGCTTTAACCAATTCCGTGTTGTTTGCAGATGAGAAAGACAAAGAAAACTGCAGGCCGTGTTTCATCCCCAATAAAGGCTGTAAAGACACAGCTGTTCCTTTGGCTGACTGCCCTGTGAAGATCTTGGCCTTGCCACGGGTGGAAGCAGCCCAAGAACAACCCTTTGGAGCTGAGGAGGAGGTGCAGGGCACAGCTCAGCGCTGGGCACGGGCAGCACCAGCTGCTGTGCCAGACTCCTCGGGGCTGCAGGTGGAGGCCCCCAGCCAGAGCAAAGCCTACTCTGGGGTGGGGGACGATTCCTGCCGCCCCCAGGACTCCGAGGACAACCAGCTCATTGCTCACAGGAATGAATCCCAGTTATTTCCTGGAGAAACGGTTTCAGGGAGTGGCAGTGTCACTTCAGCCTGGGGGATAACCACACAGGAGGGCCAGGAGATGAAGGCTGGACTCGGTTTCCAACCAGGTGCAAAGTGGAATAAGAAACCACAGCAGACAATCGGTGTCAGTTCTGTGACTGATTTTGCTGACACTGAGAAGATCAGCCCTGTAAGAGCAGCCAAGCCCTGGGCTGCTGGGGGGGTTTGTTCACCTCCACACAGCCCCTGGAGAGCACAGCCCCTGGGGGAGCACAGCCAGAACACAGCAGGGGCCAGGGGCAGTCCCTGCAGGCAGCTCTTCACCCAGGACTCCCAGGGGAACAGGGTCATTGCCCACAGGGACTGGGACAGCTCCCCCAGGCACCTGCCCCACTCTCCCCACAGGCACAGCCCCCACCAGCCTGGGGGGCAGCAGCTGGAGCTGTGCCCTGAGTCACTGTTCACACAGGATTCCCAAGGGAACAGAGTGATTAAACACTGGTAAGTGACCTCAGTGGTTCACCTGTGACCTCTTGTGCAGCCTCAGGGCTGTGCCGTTTGGAAAGTGATGGGAACTGGGGAGGAGAACGTGTTTGTGTGCACGGTGTGGCCACAGCACAGAGCAGCAGGAGAGAGTTGTTTTCTCAGATTTTTTTGCTTTCAGACAAATAAAGTGTTGAAGGAGTTTGCTTATAATGGTTTGAGTGTTTCAATTGCAGCTGCAGCCTGTGTGGCACAGCCTGGTGATTCATGTCCAGCACATGGAGCACATTCCCAAAAAAGGACTCCTGGTTACAGCTCCATCCTCTCCACAGGCAGGTGAATTCCCTGAGAGTTTGGATGGACAGGAAGCAGAACATGAGCAGGCTCAGGGGAGACCTTATCACCTTCCACAACTCCCTGACAGGAGGTTGGAGTCAGGTGGGGGTTGGTCTCTTCTCCCAGGCAACCAGCAGCAGGACAAGAGGGCACAGACTCAAGCTCTGCCAGGGGAGGGTTAGGTTGGATATTAGGAAGAGATTTTTTAGGGAGAGAGTGCTCAGGCATTGGAATGTGCTGCCCAGGGAGGTGGTGGATTCACCATCCCTGGAGGTTTTCAAGCTGAGACTGGATGTGGCACTTAGTGCCATGGTCTGGTAACCACGGGAGGGTTGGACTCAATGATCTTGGAGGTCTTTCCCAACCTGGTTGATTCTATGATCCTATAATTTAACTTTTCAAGGGCTATACCCTGGAGGATTAAGAAAATCCTTGGCACCTGAATATGTTCAGCTGCAGCAGCTGAAATTCCACCCCCCTCCAGCCATGAGCTCCACACTGACAGGTTGGACACAGACACATTAATAACCTCAAGGACAATCTCTGTCTTATTAAGGCTCCATTTTATATAAAGGAAAAATTCATACTTTCAATACAGCCATGAGGAACATTGCAGAGAATGTGTAGCTGAAGGAAACTTCCTCAGTGAGTGAGAACTGCAGCCACAGCCAAGTTCCTTCGTCCCCAGGTGGGTCCTTGGCCCTTAGCACTGGTGCAGGAATAAATAGACCTTTTGAATGCTAAATAAAATACAATATTGGAGTACAAGGACTAGTAATGAAACAGTAAATTACTGGCAAGAAATTAAGGCCATTCTGTCATGCAACAGTGAGCTAATCACTCCGTGAGTTAAATACTCAGCCAGATCCCACCAGGGGTTTGATCCATCCTATCTCTGGGAAGACTTTTTTTTTTCCCACTGTGATCCAACCACCTCCAAAACACTGAAGGCCTGGAAGCATTAATTAGCTTATTCTCATTAGCTCTGTACCATACTCAGAACAAAGAATTGGATGTTTGACCTGTTCATACTGGAAATGGGAACTGGTTCTATTGTAATGAGGCTGTTACAGGGTAATGCTTAGTAGGAACCTAAGGAAAACTGTAGGTAGAAAGAACATCATCCAGCAGCACTCCAGAAGATCCTTATCAATAATCAACATCAAAACACAGGTGGAAAAGAACTTCCATCTTCTTAAAAAGTTTTTTTTTTTTCTCTTAAATAGAACAACACATGGAAAACACATCAAATCTGTAGGTTCTTTCCTAAATGTCCAGTGCAGAAACCATGTCTAACCAATAAAAGAGGCAAAAGGCTCAATCCTTAGGAAGGCAGCTACTGTGGAGAGAATTTTGGGAGCATAACACTTTTGCTTACAGAGTTTAAATGACATCATTTCTCCTTCAGGGCCATATCTTCATCCTTGAGGGCAAATTTTCTTCTGAGTACCTCTGCAATCAGAACTGCTGGATCCTCCTCCTTCATGGATGGGCGAGTCCTGCTGGAACATAGGGCAGGGATTAGTACACACAAGTGCCAAGTGGTGATTAACAGCTCTGGTTAGAGCCTTTCAAGTGTTTTCCTGCAGCCTTCACCAGCAGCTGTTGTCACAAGTGGAGGAGGTGCAAGAACAACACCAGGAAACAACAAAAAAAGCAGCTCAAATTCATGTTGGCTCAAAAAACCTGGAGCTCCTTTAGTGGCCCAAGGCAGATCCTGGAAATCTCAGCATCAAAGCTTTGTATCATTTTCATTCAATTGTGCTAATAACAAATGAATAAACCAAAACTTCATGAATTATTTACAGCCTCCATCCCCTCAATACCAACCAGCAGAGAAGTGTTTGAGGTGAACTCCTGGAAGTGAATTTTCCTCGTGACTTTTGCCACACAATGATTATCTGATTCCCTACTCAAATCTTGGGGATTACACACATTTCCCTCCACTGCACATGAAGTTGTCTGCACATCCTGTTCTCAGAGCATCTTCCCTCCTGCAACACGTTCAGACAAGCAGCTCATGTGAGAAATTTTTTTTACAGGGAGCCAAACCTCAGTTCTTTTCCCTCAGGTATCAGGAATATCACTGAGGTTTTGTTTACAACCTGCAGTGATCATTTCAGAGCTCTTTCTTTTCATAGCTGAAGTCCTCCCTTGCTCAGAAAACATTATGGGTGTTTTAAACATTCCTGGAAGGAAAATAAAACCCCCATGGAGTATTTCCCCCACAGATAACAGGCTCTGGTTCATGTTTGCTGAAACAGGCAGAGTTTCTCCCTCAATCCTGAAGCTTCCAAGGCTGTTTAACCACCAAGGAGCAGCAGAAAAACACATTTTAAAGCACCTTTTTGGTACCTTCATCCACTTGCAGAGCCCCTGACCCTGCTCAAGGTCCCCAGTGCTGCCACCTGCCCTGGCAAAGGGCTCTGTGTGCCCCAGGACAGCACAGGGGAAGCTCCACAACTGCACTGACATGTGTTAGCAATTAAAGCTCATCAAGCAACGAACATCAGTGATTAACATAATTTTTCAACTACCTGTGACTCTTCAGACAGCTTTAATTAAGCTGTAATGACCCTAAAATGTCAGTGCTGAGAGCAGGAGGAGAGTCAGAGGCTGAGACAGTGAGGAGAGGAAAAGGGTTCAGCTCCAGCAGAAAATTCTGTTGCAGCATTCCCTGCAGCAGCTGCAGAGTGACCCAACTCTGGGTGATCAGCACAGCTGTCACAAGGGGACAAAGATCCTGGTGACCCAATCCTTCTGCCCACCCTGTATCCCAGCAAGGAGGGACCTGGCAGCTCTCTCTCCTTCTCTCCATACCAAATCTTTGCTCTCCCTCACCTTCTATGACTCTGAAAGAATCAAAGCTGCTGGTAAAGCCACACACAAACCACCTCGTTCTCCCACTCCCTCCCCAAGCTTCTCCCCAGGGAGCAGCAGGATCAAACACCTTCAGCCCCTGCCAGCTGCTCTCACACATTCCATCGAGGAAATCAAGATTGTATTGCAGTGTTCCCTGTCACCCACACACTGTTTGTGACAGCCTCGTGATTTGGCCACTGCTGGAGGCCTGGAATCTGCAGGAGCTGGTAAATCCAGACACGGATGAGAAATGCCTCAGATTTCCCTGACATAATCTGTACTTGTACAAGGCTTTTTTATTTTTTTTCCCCTGGAATAATGCATGTTTCCCTCTACCTCTGGCACAGCCAGCAGCAGTTTCCTTGCTCTGAGTGACAGTTACAGTGACAGTTACAGTCCAAACCCTATGGATTCAACGTGGCTGAGCCACACAACACACAGGATTTTTGTTAATTCTCTCTCCCTTTGCCTAAAAATCCAATAATTCTGCTTTGCAACAGACAGGGAGAAAGAAGAGGAGCAATTCACCTGTGGTGCATGAACCCTATGCACCCTCTAGATGTACTTACACAAACCCATCAAGTGTTGAAGCTCTGAGCAATATCTAACACAGGAAAACAAGCAAAGGGGTGAGGTGTGTGAGTGATGGAGGTGTAACACCTCACTTATGCTCTGAGTGCAGAGCTGAACATGTTCCTCTCATCTGACTACATTTTTTTTCCAGTGCTGAGAATTTAATTTCTTTGACACTGAATTAAGCACAGAAGTTGTGAACAACCATCACACAACGTGTTATTTTTGGCCAGGAACATTACACAACATAATGGCTGGGCTGAAAAAAAACGTGGAGATAGAACTTTATCCTTGTGATCTCAACATGTGAAAGGCAGGTGGTACAGCCAACAGTGAAGAAGGAACTTTCCCAGCTGGGCAGAACCTGCCCTAGGCATTAAGCAGCTTTGGGTGTTCTCATGATCAATGTGTCAACTCGTCACGAGACAAGTGCAAACTCACCCTGCCCACGCTCAGAGCTGGGACAGATGCAAGAGAAGAGAAGCTGAGAAGCTCCATGTGTTAATTCTTGCCTGTGCCATGCTGGAAAAGCTGCTGAGCTTCCCAACTCCCTGGGAATGTGAGGTGAGCTAACACCAGCATCTGGAATACTACAGGCAGTGAAGGCTGTGAGCACACACAGTCCTGGTTTGGGAAGACACAGCAGTTTAAATTCCCTTCACTGTTTCCTATCCAGGTGTTGTTTAAGAAGAGGCTTCAAAAAATCCAGGAATATGTTCCCAAGTGCTGCTCTAACCAGGTATTTCCCCCCTGAACACAGAGTTGCAGTGAGTGCAATGTTCAGTGATCTGACACAAGACAGAGAATCAAGAGAGCTCAGGGAGCACTTACAAGTCTTTGCTCTGCTTCATCCTATGAATGTCTTTGAGAATTCCCATCATGTCTGCAAAACTGCTGGCCTTGGAAAGAGACACAGAGTCTTCCTCATCAGGATCCTTTGGTTCTGGCTTGCAGCTCTCAGAGGCAGCAGAACAGAGCATGGAGACCGACGGGAGCTCAGGGCTTTCCAGTTCTGCCTCCTCCTCTGTGATATCGCTAATGACAAAGGAAGTTGTGGATTGGAAAGAGGGTCCAAAACAATGTAAAGGAGAAGATGCATTTGAACTTCCTGGAGATAATAAATCTGGTGTTAATTGGGCAGAAGCTGAAAAAGAAAACAATAGAGGTGGATAGATAAACTCACACTAAAGCACATGGGTCAGATTTCCCCCCCAAACAAAGTAGAAATCCAGAGGAATCATCAGCCAACCTCTCACTGGAGGAAAATAAACCCTTCATGTCCACTGTGCTTCCTTCTCCAGTACCTTTTGTCCCACCAACTCCCTGATGTATCTCCATTCCCTCCCTCACCATCCTCTGCTCAAACCCTGCACAAACCTGATGGTGATGTTGCCTTTTACAAACAAGCAATAGCAGAACAGAAATTTTAGCTGCTGCTCAGGGCAGAATTCTCCTCTTTTTCTCCATCCCCTTGAGAACTCCTTGCCTGTCTTTTCCTGTCAGGCTCCTTCCTTACAGCCAGTGTCAATGCAGAGCCTCTCCAGGAGCTCCAGCATTTCACACTACATGGTCACAGCCATTCTCCCTGTGCCTGCAGGTGTTGTGACCTGTTCTGCTTCTCATTCTCATCTGTACATTTCCATAGGGAAATGGGATTTATGTAAACCAGCGTGAGGATAACAACAGCTACAGAAATTCCAAGGGTTAAGTGAAAACACATCAGGCATTTCCAGTGTAAAACATGATGGAAAAACAACCAAACCCCAGGAATATGCTGAGGACAAGTCTCCTTGGAAGAACCTTCCAGTACTGAAAACAAACTCCACCTCAAAGCACCAGTGCCCTTGGCCTCCAGAGCGAACTGCTCATCGATTCCCAATGAAAGGATTTCTCTAACAGTATGTAATAAAGCAGATTGCACAATATTTCTTTCTTTGGCATCAATCTTTCCCAAATAAGCCTGCTCAATGCTTATCTCCTCCATCAGATCTGGAGCTGCTGCCAGGTTAACTCTGCCCCCTGTTATTGACTGAGGCTGCAGAGTTGATGGGAGCTGAGCACAGCCAGGCCCAGCCCTGGGCAGAGGGGGGAGGAAGGGATTAAATCATTTTTCTCCCATTTGGATCTCTAATTTCCCCTTGTTATTACTCTCCTTGAATTTTTTCTAGCCAACTGTGAAGCTGAGACAACACTGAGAATGAAAAAAATCATACCATTTCCCAGTCTACATTCCAGCTTGGCTGTTCCTCTGCTCTGGCACAAAGAAGGATGAGGACACACAGAGCCTCTCTGGAGGAGATATCTGTACTGCCTCATTCCATGCTTATTCCCTGCATGGCTGAGGTTAGTGTGGGTCCCTCACCTCCAGTGTGGGTTCATTTCACCTCACTGCTCTAGGAGCCAAGGCAGGTGGGATGCTGGATCCCACAGGATCAGGTGCTGTGACAGGACCAGATGACAAGGGACACCAGCACAAGGTCCTCTCTAAGTGTGCACAGACCACCAGACATACCTCACCTCATCTCAACCTCCCAGAGAGGTTGTGGTCTCCTCATCCCTGGAAGTGCTCCAGGCCAGGTTGGACAGGGCTTGGAGCAACCTGAGCTAGTAGAAATGTCCCTGCCCATGGCAAGGTATAAAGGAGAAGCCATGAAAGGAAGAGAAGTAAAACTTCTCTCAGCTTTGAGGCTAAATCAGTCCAGCTTGGCTTTCCCCCAAACACCTTATTTGCTACAGGAATAGCAAACAATTCTGTCATTTGCACAACAGGAACACTAACACCTCTCTCCTCCCCAAATCAAGACAACCCTCACCCTCGTGGCTGGCTTGGAGCAGGAAGGGCAAGAACACACCAATGCTTCCATGAATTTAGGTGCCTCCAAACACAGTCACAGTAGCACTTGGGATGTCTTAAGAACAAGCTGGAACCCTCCAGTGAAACAGCTGCAAAGCTCTATGCACAACCAGAGCCCTGAGCTGGCCCAGGTCTCCCTCCCACCACAAAAGCCAGAGCTTTGCTGGAAAACACGAGCCTGGTGTGTGTGGATGAAATATCACAGCTCAGTAACTCTGCCCTCAACACAAAAAAACAAGGCTCATTGTGTTCCTACCTGACTCTGCAGCCACTATTTTGGCTATCTGACTCCGGAGGTGACTCAGCTCATCCTGGAGCTCTGTGGTTCGGCTCAGTGCTGGCAAACCAGGTTTCTTCAGGGCCAGAAGCTTCTCCTCCTGCTTCCTCAGGTTGGGGACTGAGGCGTTTCGCTGGATCACGGTGAAGGGACTTGGCTTCCACTTGTGCTTCAGCGGCCGAGTGTCACTTCTAGGGGACAAAAACCTGTTGGTATTGACAAGGGCCAGATGCCTCTGTGACAACAAGGCTTGGCCTCCAGGGAGGACAGCAGAAGCCTTCAACACAATGAATGAAGCCTCTGTGCCACCCCATGTATGTGCTCTTCCTGCATGACAAAAAGAACACAAGCAGCTGTGGCTGCTCCATCCCTGGAAGTGCTCCAGGCCAGGCTGGATGGGGCTTGGAGCAACCTGGGCTGGTGGAAGGTGTCCCTGCCATGGCAGGGGGTGGAATCAGATAAGCTTTAAGGTCCTTCCAACAGACAATCTCAGGATTGTCGAAGAGTCTATCACAGAAATCACAAGATGTGGTGAGGACTCAGGGACAAAAGTCTGGCTGTGCTCACATGGTTTGAAGTCACCTCTCTCCTGGTGACCATGTCTCCATGCTGGCAGTGCTCTGGGAGCACGTGGGAAATGTCACTCATTAATTTTCACCTCTGATTCCAAAGTCCATTTCATCTTTCACAAGACACTTGTTTCTCTTGCCCTCCTTT